TGAGATCAGCTACTTACTTCACAAGTAAGAATGCCACACGCGATAGTCTATCCGTAATAACGATATCCGTATCTCGTTATTACTTCGACCACGGACGATTTAAGATTCAGTCATATGTAATTTGTATCTCACAATCACAACTCCTTGTGATTAACAAATCACCAAGACTTGAATCTACGGATTCTATTATTTACATTATTAGAATATTAATTCAATTAAATAATAGATATTGCCATACATATGCATTGATTATATATATTCAAAGTGTTTATATCCAAAGTTGATTGGACATAGGGCATAACACTTACATAACCATGGTCAGTTGGCGTATGTACACCAAGAGAAAGCCCGTGTTTAGTGGTAATTAAAATCAAAATTGTAGTTGATTTTGATAAAAGTTGATGAAATATGTTCGTTTCAAGTTTGACATTTTTACCCTTGTATTCCATTATTTGCTCGATTTTAGTCCCTTTGTTTCTTCAGCCTTAAGAGTTGTGAGACACGTGAGAAGGAATTGCAGTTTGTTTTTCCAACTTTTAAAGTTCAACCATCAAACCTTTCTAAATTCACAAAATCGACTGTGAAATCTCTCAATAATGATATAGGAGAAGTCATTGCCAATCTTTTAGTTATTGTCTTAAGATTGTTAGCGAGGAAATTCTTGAAATGATTCGAACTCCAAACTCCTCAGTAAATTTCAAGGCAGGTGACGATGTTTTCTTTAAGATAATTTTATCCCTAGTCAAATGAGTGCACAAAGGAAATTCTAATTAAATAAGGTAATCCGTAACTTTATATAGAAAACAAAAGAAATCCTCTCTCTTCCACAGGAATTAAATTTTTGAAGGGTACATATTTCCTTAAAATTTATTGCCTCCTAGGTCAACAAGGACACGGAAATCCTTAAATTCTCCTATTTGCCGCAGAATACTCAAAATTTTCGCAAGATCCTAATTCTCTATTCTCTGTTTCAAGGTATTTGTCACTTAATTCAATTCTGTTTTCTCGCCTTCAACAAGAATCTTTATGTTGAACATAAATCGGTAAATCCACGATTCAGAAAAAGGGAATATTCAAATGCATCTTTTTTTTTTCAATCATAAGTATATTTTATTTTAGCGGTAGAACAGATTAATCTTTTTTCATACTTCTTTTGCAGACATGGCAGATTGGGTTGAACTGCCATTAGACATTTTGGGTTATCTCATTCCATGGAGGATTTTATTTTCTTTGGTGCTGTTTGTAAATCATGGCAATCAAGTACTTTAATACTAGAGAGAAAACCTCCATTGCCTATTACATATCCTTGGCTTATGCTTGCTGAAACCATGGATACCAACGATCAAGGGAGGAAACAAGATGTGTCCGCTTTCTAAGCTTATTAACTTCAATAACATATGAACTTAGGTTCCCGGAAGCTATTGGTAGGAAGTGTTTTGGAGCAGGTTATGGATGGTTAATGACAATTGGCACCGATTTACAAATCAATCTATTACATCCCTTCTCTCGGCAGCAAATTTGCCTACCACCAATGCTGACCTTCCCAGTTCAGTATGATTATAATGACCAATTTCCACCACAGGATTACTATTATTTCTTTGTGAGAAAGATAGTGATGTCCTCAAATCCTGGAATGAAGAAAAGTTCACCTAATTATAATCCAGATTGCATTGTAGCTGCTATTTATGGAGAAAATGATATATTGGCTTTTGCAAGACTAGGAGAAAGTGTTTGGACCAATATTACGGTCCCTTCCCGTTCTTATGATGATATTGTTTGCTATAGTGGTAAATTTTATGTTGTTGATTGTCATGGAGTTGTAGTTGTTTGTGACCTTGACGACGATAATGACCCAAAAGCAATAGTAGTGGCTCCTGCTCCAACTAAGACGCGTGATTCAATTCGAAAGTATCTTGTTGAATCAGCAGGAGATCTTTGTTTCTCGTATTCGAGGAGGCACCTTATTTGAAGGTGATGATGAAAACAACGTGAAGTCCAGATACTATACGATTGGTTTCTCTATTTTTAGGCTAGAAGAAAGTCGTGGGGAGGGAAATAAATATGCCCATAGTTTGGTTGAATTGAATACTTTGGGGGATCAAGCTTTGTTCTTGGGCCACAATGTATCTACATCATTGTCCTCGTCAGAATGTAAGGGAACTTTCAAAGCTAATTGCATCTACTTTACGGATGATAATTTTGAGCTTTATTCCCTTGAACCAGGTGGAGGTGGGAATGACGCGGGAATCTTTGACATGGAAAAGGGAACTATTGAATTAAATTATGGAAGAGATTTTCACAGTTATACATCTCCTTCATTATGGTATCTTTAGGTTTCTTCTATAGATAACGATGTAATAATTTTTGGAAGGTTTATCCTTCAAGCATGGACACTGCATGGATAGATTTATTTCAAAGATTAGCAATTCAATGAACATCTTTATTTTTTCAAATATGATGCATCAATTATGCAATTTCCTTGACTATCCTTTCTTTGCTGACTAACCGTCTTTACTAGTCAAGATAATCTTAACTACTTTAGACCACTATAGATGGTTACTGCTTACTATAGTTGAACTTGCAAGTAGTTATCTGTGGTAACACAAAAGAGATAACATCCTTCGGATTGATTGAGACGAAGCACTATGTACTTACATACACAATGACTAGCTACACCACTTCTCACAAACTAAAAAGATTTTAAGAAGACAGCCTTGACTTAGCAAACACAGCAGGATAAAGTATTGATGATTGCACAGGAGAAAAAAAAAGTCTTTATGAGAAATATGCGGTTCATTTCAAGAATGGCAAATGATGCTGCAGAGAGAACTCAGTCTCATGTTACTGTATAGCAGAACATGGTCCGGGACTTTGATAGACCACCAAACTGCTGCTGTTTATTTCTCCAGAGTCTGAAGGTTTGCTTCTGAAAATTAAGGTTCCTGAAGGTTGCAGATGGCAAATCCTGGCTACTGATGGCTGTGCAGCTGCTTGGAGGACCTGCTCGCCCAAACAGAGAACTGTTATACTCTGATGATAGGTTACAAATTGTTATAGGATTGCAGGATGAAGTGTATAATTGTACTGAAGCTGTATTTTGTAACCAAAACAGAGAAATGAGAATATTATTTACCAAAATTGGAAGATTTCTAGTTTAACACATCCAAGGCATTTGAGAGGCCTGGAGCTCTCCTACTTGACTCTGAATTACAGACTGAATGAATGAATCCTATCCAGGTCCCCCCATCCATTTATTTATATTCCCCAATTGACTCAACTACCTATTATACCCTTAATGCTAACCAACTAACAAACTTGAAGTAATTACAAACTTGAATGAATAACCTGGGGTCTATCAGACTTTCTTTCTGAATACATGGTAGTTTTTCATTGCTTATTGAGAAAGTAAAATTGTTGCATAAAATTCCACCAATATTCTGATTATTTAGTAACTGATATGATAAAATTAACTAGCAGCTAAGGAGAAGGAAAATGAAGAAAGAAAGAAGCCGAAGAACGGAGAAAGCAGAGAAAAGGTGAATATGACAGCAGACGTAGAAGTGAATCAGCTGACAGGGACTGGTATCGTGATAGGGATTATGACGGAGAGGGACAGATATCAAGAAAGGTCGCATGAGAGGAATGGCAGAGGAAGCCATGAAGAGGTAAGACGATCAGACTGGAATTACAGCAATTCGAGGAGTGGAAGAGACAGAAGTAGGCACAGCTTCACAAGTAAATAATGCAGCATCATGAATGAAAAATTAAGGTGCCGTTCTCTTTGCTGTTTTGGGGCCGTTTTCTGTTTTCGATTTTTCAAAACGACGAAAACGCGTTCTCTATGTCATTTTCGAAAACGGCTTTTGGAAAACAGAAAAAAAATTCTGAAGAAAACGCAAAACGGCTAAAAAGCCGTTTTGGCCGTTTCCTTCACAAATTGGAAACATACGGGATCACAAATTGGAAAACAGGAAACTGCCCAAAACTCTCCTCCTTTCTTCTGCCATTCCACACTCCACCGCCACTTTCCAACCCGCTAAACTCCGGCCAACCTCCTCCAAAATGGCCGGATTAATATATCATTGTGAAACCCTCAATCACCTCTTCAATTACCACACAAATAACAATCCAATCATATATCAAAATCGATCAAAAAAAATCCTCAGAAACTAGCACAAAATGCTTCTGCCGGAATCTCACCATCCGGCAACACCCAAGGTCGCGCACCACCACTGGTCGATTGCCC